ACTGTTTAGACAAACCCAAGCAGTTAGCTAATTCGCTATCGAGTTTGCAAATTTGTTGCCCCAATACTTCTGAGATTTGCTGTAACAGAACCATAACATTTATAAAAGGCACAGTGCTGAGATTCAATTCGAGTATACACGAAATATACTCTTGCAATTGCACACGAGTCGTCAAAACGTAGTTTGGTGACAGTTGGGAATGATACCAAGATTTAACAATTCCATGAGAAAATCGCGATGTTCACACATGAAACGGGTGTGCATAGAGCGAATTTTGTATAGTTTCATTACACATACACGCACCCGTATATATATTGACAATAAACTCCTCTTTCACATTATGCAAATACAAACAAGACATTAAACCTTCCTGACAGTAAGATGTAAGTGTTGTAGTATAAATCCGAATAAAAATTACGGACTCACGGTGATTACTTCCAGCGAGTCACCCCTCTATAAACGTCTTCAACTAGTCTAGGCCAATCACTTTGCTCTTCCATAAAGCATCAGTTTCCCACTTCAAATAATCATAAATACCCTTGATACCCTGGAGAAGTAAGTCCATTGTTTCACAAGAACGACTGTCTTCTCAATTTTCTCAAGATAAACATCTCAGGGTTGTTTTGTTTACTAGAAGAAAATGTCTTTTGGCAGCATTTCGTGTATTAATTTTCATTGCACAAAAAAGCAGCAAATACTGTTACTGAAGCATTGAATTTGCATGATTTTCCCCCGGCCATTCACGCAAACCGCAAATCAAGTCTTTTACTGAATCCATAGTTGTTGACACTTTGCAGCGGCAATGATGGTTGCATTGTGACGTATTTTGATCCCCGGAATCTGACCTTGCATTCTGGCTACATTTACCTCCTTTTCATACCAGTTCAATTTCCTTTATTTCATCCAGATTCCATGAAATTTAATATTTAAAACCAGCCTTTATTTCACTTTTCTAAAATTATTTTATTGATCAAAAGATCTTTACTCCCATCATGCAATCTCCTATAGTACTTCCGCAGACACAGCGGCGATCGCCAACATAACTATAAATAACCTCACTCCCAGGAGCTGAGGATTAAAGACGAGGTAGTTTATTTAATCAGTGCTGAACTAGAGGCTGAAATTATAATTAAGTGCGTTGTCATATAATTTGTTTATTTCAATTTCTTCTGAAGTCAAATAGAATGCACTGGTAAAACACGGTAGTAAGCATGAGTGAAA